CTGCTGTTTGTTCAAAATGTCATCTGGACCGATGAAGTTCACGTATTTCTCTGAATGTTCTCAAGGAAGATTCGGGTTCAATGTATGGTATTCCCTTTTAAATAATAGAATGTTGGCATATAGTATCTACCATGAAAACTTAAAGTCAGGTAGATACTTCAATATATTAAGGCAGCACATTGAGCCTTTAGTCGACAATTTGCCACTAAATATGTCTCAAATGATATATCTTCAATATGACGGAGCACCAGCACATAATGCCACAGTTGTTAGTGAATTTTTAAATACAAACTTTGGCAATAATTGGAAACACTGTTTTCCATCCTGGTATGGTTATCACCATAGCAACATTAAGTTTTAAATACATATGTACAACAGTTTTAGAAAGAACAAAACGAATTTTTGCTAAATATTCAATAACTATAAGAAATATACCCAATAAACTATATAATATATTTGTTATCAGAAAAAATCAACGAATTATTTTAGCCAACATAAATAGCCAACTATGGTTTGTATTTAAAAAAATAAAGTTACTTGTAAAATCTCGAAAATAAAGGATAGGTAAAAAATTCTACCTACGCTACTGAATTCTTCGTAAAAAGTTGCCCATAAAATGTTTTAATAACTAATTATAATACTCCGTCTTTGGTAATAAGTGAGATATTCGTATTTGTCGTTTTCGCAAATTTTTCAGTTGCCGATAGGGCGAAAACAAAAGACGATAGCTGTTCGGAGTTTTCTGCATTAGCAGTTTCTCGAAAAACGAGATCATAACATGTAAGCTACTTTTCGTTTATATCTTTTAATTTCGGATATAGCCTATGCGGTCAACGAATTTGGGACCCTGTACATGTAGATATACGGCCGACTTTCGAGGAACGTATCACCGCTGTATAACGAGGTATGAGTGTACACCTATGCGAAGTTACCTCCATTTTTCTAGCCCCCAAGGTTGGATAGGATTTTACACGTATAATAATTTGATTATAAGAAGAGAACCACTCAATCGATGTCGATAATCAAAGTCTATTCCCCAATTACATAAAAAATAATTTTGTGTAAACGGATTACTACTAGAGAACAAATTAATGTGAATATGGTCGAAATATTCTACAAATCATAATAAACTATGCAAACAAACGAACTAAGTAATAGACTATTTAAAATGTATTTGTACTAAAACAGAAATTTTTTTTTCATTTTCGGTTTTAGTATTTCTACCTTTAATATAATTTATTGTTGTTCTTACTACTTTTCTAGTCTTCTTTTTCCAAATTTTATATTTTTGTATAATGTTTCACACAAAAAGCTTTTTTTTCAAGGTGTATAGTATATTTTTCTCTTCACTACAAAAGTTAAAATGTTTTCCATAAAATATTCCATAAAGAATAAAGCGTGACAATAAAAATAAAAAACGTTGAAGAATTTTGTAGACAAAATCAGTTGGTACATTCACTGAGTCGTTTAAACAACCGTACGCATTTAATCAGCGAATTTTGAGATCGGGCATTTACATCTTTCACCGCATTCACCATCGTGAATCATACTTTCAAATAATAATAATTAAATTAAAATCCTTCAATATTTCGAATCGGGAATTTAAACATATGCTTCAGCCAGACGCAAGCTTTCATTTGAGATATAAAACATTAAAATCCGTCAAACCATTCTTAAGGTATAGCGAATTTAATCAAAATTATTTTTTTCTTATTGGGGCTAGACTTCTAGTCAGCAGGTGCGTGGAGTCATTTAAATAATCATTTAATAAGTAATTAGTAAATTTTGAGATCGGGCATTTCCGCCTTCGCATTAATTGTGGATCATACTATCGATCGAGACGTTGATGACTAAAATTGATCAATTAATTAAGGAAATAATTGATGTGTTTGATTAATTTTTTGTGTTTTAATCAAAATTCTAAAATAATTCGAATCGGGCATTAAAATCCGCCAAACCGTTCTCTAGTTATAATCAATTCAATACAATTTAATTTTTTCTTTGGGCGTCTAGACGTGCATAAACAACGAGCCGAACACGGTCTTTCCGAGAGCTATACAAGGTTAACGGGAGAGAATTGAGATTGGGAATTTTGTGATTTCGATAGAAGAAACTATGACGAATCGAATGACGTATAGATCTTGATCATGGAGTTCATCGTTTACATTATTTTTATGTTATTTTCGTGTACCTTCGCAATATTTTGGTGTTTTAGCGCAATTCGAAAGAGATTTCAAATCGGGCATTGGCCAAGGATTAAGCTTTCGAATGAAAGATTATTTATAAAAATCGGTTGGGTGATTCTCTTGTTATAATCAAAATACTATACATGTAAAATCTTGTAAAAACTTCGTATAGGTTGAGTGTACCTCCATTTAATTATAATTATTAAGTTTAGTTATGTCTTTTACTTTGTGATGAATATAGTATTATTAAAATCCTTAGATTTTGTCTTTTATTTACCACTAAAAAATGTGACAAATGACACAAGCCGAATTTCGGTTTCGGCGGTAAATATCGGTTTCGGTCAGACACTACAGCAATGATTGAGGATTAAGGCTAAGGTGGTCTCTTTTTGACGCGTGTGAAGTTGGCCATAGATTTTAAACTGAAAATAATGCGTGATCGAGGTATTTAATCGATCTAATTTCAACGGTATTCATGGTCGTCGCCTCTTGTTCCAAATTCGACAATAAAATTTTCCTAACCATTTCCTATAGTCCGGGAAAATCGATTTTCTTCAAACTTTCGCAAAATTCGGCTGGTTCGGGGTTTTTAATCGATCTAATTCAACGGCATCGTATTCCTGGTAAAACTTGCTGATCTTCAACATTTGCCACCATTAGCATCCAATGACTACTACGTAATATAGGGAAAATATATTGTTGAAATTTGCTAATTGTTTTTGGTAAAAACCCTAACCCTAAATCGATCTTATTTTTTACGGCATTGTATTCTTCTTAATGAAAAAAGTGGTGGGCTTGAAATGTGAGTCTTCGATGAAGGGTTTAACTAAACACGGGCATACATACATAAAAATTTTTTGGTAACAAGAAATGTATTGGCTGTAAGTCGCAGGAGACTACGAAAAAGAAATAATATACTACTTTAAGAAAATTCAAGACAATTGCAATCAGTATAAAAATGAACCACAGTTTAAGAAAAACAATTATTTTTCAAGTCAATTTTGGCAGACCTTTTTACAGCATGCCGATGTGGACAAGTTTATTAAAACCAATACAACACAACAATTTGGATGAAAAATGGTTCAACATTTTTAAAAACAATATTCTCAATCAAAATGAATTAAGAGACAAACCGTCCAGATTTATTCGTAAAATCAGAAATTATGTTCTAAGTGAATACAACGAAGTCAGATATAATATTAAAAGAACTAAATGTGTAACGCGCGCACAATAGTTTGCAAAAGAATTTGAAGAATCTTGGGAAAAACAAAAAAAAAACAGACGTATTCACACAAAAGCGTGCTCAAAGAAAGTTAAAACAGACCTGCCGAAAAAGTTATCTTATATTAATCAAATTCCTAATGTAAAAAAAATATCAAAAAATTATGTCGTTGCAAAATTTAATAACGAAAAACTTTACTACGAAAGCTTTGATACAATCAATTGCAAAATGAACAAACAAGACATATGGTTGGATAATTTAGTCGTTGATTATGCATTGAGAATATTTGCAAAGGATAAAAATATTAAAATATTTTGTCAGGGAGAAGTAGAAAATATTATGAACGGGTTTTTACCAAAAACAATTAGCAAATTCCAAAAATATTTTTTCCTTATATTACGTAGTAGTCATTGTAGATGCTAATGGTAGGAAATGTTGAAGATCAGCAAGTTTTATTTTTTGTACCAATGACTATTGAAACTAGAAAAGCACAAACTTATTAACTTATAAACTTATTTATTATTATTATAAACAATTGTCCAATTAATTGTTGGATTGGCGATTGTTTGAAGAAAAACGATTTTCCCGGAATATAAGAAATGGTTAGGAAAATTTTCTTTTTGGATCTAAAGCAAGAGGCGACCAGGAATACGATGCCGTTGAAATTAGATCGATTAGAAACCCCGAACAGGCCAAAATTTGAGATTGTTTGAAAAAAAAAACGATTTTTCGGGAATATGAGAAATGGTTAGGAAAATTTTCTGTTTGGATCTGAAGCAAGAGGCGGCCCGGAATACGATGCCGTTGAAATTAGATCGATTAAAAACCCCTAACAGGCCGAATTTTGCGAAAGTTTGAAGAAAATCGGCTTTCCCGGACTATAGAAAATGATTAGGAAAATTTTCTTTTCGAATTTGAAACAAGAGGCGACCATAAATACGATGCCGTTGAAATTAGATCGATTAAATACCCCGATAACGAATTTTTTTCAGTTTAAAATCTATGGTTGAAACTTATGGCCAACTTCACACGCGTCTCTTTTTGTGGTCAATGAAGCGGGAACAACCACATATTAGATTGCGAAGTACCAGATAGTAAAATTTATACAATATTATTTTATAATCCTAAAAATTCGACATAAATAGCAAGAAATTTCATGTTATAAAAAATTGTGTAAACTCATGGAATAATTTAAAAAAATGTTTTGTGTAATCTTATCAAAATCATGAAATATAACTGTAAAATTAACAGACAATTTTTTTTATTACATTATCCCCCATAAATAATTGCAACTAATTTTAAATTAAAGACAATTAAAAATTTCTCAATTAATTATTAAAGACATGTTCGTCCTCAAATCCTTGAAACATTGCAAGGCGTTTATAAATAAATAAATATTAATAACAAACTTGTAATCCATTTATGTAAGTGGTACTCATCAAAAATGTCGATAGATTTTTTTGTTAATACAAGATAACATAATACACTCCATCAATTTTCAACATAAAAGTGTTAATTAAAAAGATAAATTTAAATGTGTGCAATAATAATAATGTTAAAGAAGTGTTAATAAATTGTCTATTTTTACTCACATTTACAAAAAATGGAATGATGAGCATCACGAATGCCAATTCAATCTTGGGATTATCAATTGGTGAAAGAATGAAGTCCTTTACTCGTTCCCAAAAATCCAACTGCATAAATAATGTTATGCAAGTTTTTACAATGACCATAAGACCCAAATATAAACAACACTGTGCCAACCATGCATTCATGGAGGGAGGTTTACCTATTAGTTTAGAATTAATTTAAAAATATTATGATAAATTAAAAATTGGCTTTAATAAGTAATGGGTATTGTGTAATAATACAGGGTGTTTGGTAATATTTTGTCTAATTCGATTAAATAATAGGATTTGAAATTATTGTTGGAATACCTAACACCTTGTATGATTACAACATTTTCTCTTTAACATACCATATTCACCAAAATTAATAGCCTCCCAACCTTTTCTTCTAGATAAGTACTGCGATAATTTTATACCAATAAAAACAATCAACAAACCTAAAGAAGAATCTAACAAAAAATTTATAATGTACCTAAAAACGATTATGATTAAAAAAATTGATCTTTCAAGCAACAAGTTAATTACCAGGTACAAGGATCACCGGTGTATTGTCCAGCAAGCCAAACGTTTGCCAAATGAATAGCAAGGGCCCCCATCCCCTGTTTTGAAGTATCATAAAACCAAATTAACCAAGACCTTCTCTCGTGTCGCGGTTCACAGAATCTCTTGGCTAAACGAAAATTACAAAATCGTTTAAATTTGAAACTTTCACTAACCTATTTAGATTTTTTTTTATTTCTACGTTTTACTTACCTATTAGGCACGTGAAAGCAAGACACGCGAGCAATACTTGCAAAAACCAACCGAAAACGTCCGTAAGGGCGTCTTTGCTACAGTGCAAACCGCCTTTGGATCCTTCTCTAAGAGGCATCTCGTTCGAGATGTTCATTATACTATCTATTCTACCTGTTATTCATCGTTACGGGCATTTCGCAGGTTTAGTTCACCCCGTTTTACACAACGCGTAATTTTTTATTAGATAAACGTAAAACATATCGAACAGGAACATTCAAAACGACGTAAATCCTACCGTTTTTGACAACGAACTGACGTAAATGACATACGAACAGAAAAGTTGAATGTAAGTATAGGCAACTTATTTAACTTAAAATTTTTTTAAAATAATCAGGTATACCAACATTAATTTTTGCAATTTATTATTTATTTGAGATAAAAAGAAATCCACACGAAAGCGTTATCCTTAAAAACCTAATTTTACAACTTTTCTTATTTAATAAGGTCTTGGTCTGTGATTATTATAGGATTGAGAATATCCTTTTCGTGAGTTTGGAGCCCAAGCATCAGGAGTTGATATTGCGATATCCATATAATCACCAATCGCAAATCTAGCTTGAGCCAAAGTTTTTAAATCATCAGGACCTTTTTGTCCCGTTGCGGTACTACCTATTTCGCGCATTCGATAAACTGGGGCCCTTGAATCAGGATAAACCAACGAAAACGTAAACTTGGTTCCTTTGCGTCTCGTCTCGGGATTCACTTCTTTAACCAAAAGAGCAAGTTCATTTAATGTGGCATCTTTCCACGTGTAGATTTGTAACTCGTTTTGGGGAGTAGTCCCTTTGTTGTAGTCGGAAGTCTTGTAATGATGACCAGGTGAGACAAAAACTCGTAGCAAAAAGGGGCAAACCTACAAAAATAAAATGAAGTAAACAATTAATTTAATTAAAAATAAATTTACCTTTTGCCTATCGACTGAATCTTCCTTCTTTTCTTCAATAACCAGTTCTACAGCAGACATTTTCATTGAATTTGTCGAATTTATGTTTTAATCTTTTAGGTTATGTTTTTGCTTGGTTTGGTTTCCAACGCTGAAAGAGATAGGTTAGGAATATCTATTTGTTAGACAAGGAAAGATTTTAAGTACTACATAGATGGCGCTTTCTGTTAACAATCTGTCAAATTTCATTCTGTCATTTTATAAACTCATAAAATTTATTAATAAATAAATGGCTTCGGTACTTTTACGTGCTTCAAGACAACTCCCTAAGAATTCGGGATCATCCTGGTAAACACATTTTTAAATCGTCCCTTTTTATAACTCTAAAACAGTATTTTGAAATTCTAACCTAAAAAATTTTAAGGTTCGTAGCAAATAATGTTTCTACAACTTCAATTAAATTTACGGATGATCCAGACGATCTTAGAAAGAAAAAAGATGCTGTACCAATCAAACACGACCTCGCTTTGTTAAATCCAGCTGAAGTAGAGCATAGAAAACGTTTGCAAGGTTATATAACTGTCAGCGCAAAGGTATGTATATAAACGATTTAATTTAATCTAAAATTAAGTGTTTATTTCGCCGTTTTAAGACCGATTTGTCGCCAGTAACGGGTGTACCACCTGAACATGTTAAAGAACGGACAGTTAGGATTTATGAGCCACCAAAAAATTGCATGCAAAGTGGTACTGATAATATCGATTGTTGGTTAATCGAGTTTGATACGAGGGAACGTTGGGAAAATCCGTTAATGGGATGGTCGTCAACGTAAGTTGATTATTGAAATGATAAAAAGAGTTTAAGTTGTTTCTTTAAGGGGGGATCCTTTATCGAATTTGAAAGTTGAGTTTACTTCTAAAGATGAAGCCATTGCGCATTGTGAAAAGAATGGATGGAATTGGTTTGTGCAAGAAAAAACTTCTAAACCTATGAGACCTAAATCTTATGGTGTTAATTTTTCGTGGAATAAACGTACTCGCGTTTCTACTAAGTAAGAGGAGTAAATAAATGATTATTACTGTAAGAAGTATTAAATAAAAATGATGTTAATAAAAATTTGATCTTTTTATTAAGATTAAATTTTACAAGTTATTATTGTATTAAACAAAAACCGGCGAGATTTGGTGGTTGCCTGAATATCTCTTCTATTCATACAGCAAGAGTGTTTTTTTTTTATGGCTCTGTGGGATCCCAGCCCATAAGCCACAGTGCAAAACGGCTAATCAACCCCTTAACCTACAAATACGGGCATAGCCCGTAGTACGATGATCGGGCCAAACGTAAATATTACGGGCATAGCCCGTAGTAGATGATCGGACCAAACGTAAATATTACGGGCATAGCCCGTAGTACGATGATCGGGCCAAAAGTGAATATTACGGGCATAGCCCGTAGTACGATGATCGGGCCAAATATAAATATTAGCGGCGGCATCCTCCTAAAGTTATAAATATTTGTGGAATATTTGATAAGTAATTACAAAAAAAGGGATGAAATTCTCCATGTTTCTCAAATAATTAAAAAATAATATAGGAAAAAAGTAGAAACTTTTTTTGAGAAATGCTAAAATATTTAATTTAATTCAAATAGTAAACATTAATTTACAATTTGATGGAAAAATTTAAGGTTTGTAGGGATTAGGTATAAGTTTAAACTTTTCTTCTTAAATACAAAATAATTTAAAATTTACAAAAAATATCAAAAAATTAAATAGAAAACCTTTAAAATAATTTTTTTTGAAAAATTTGCCCAAAAATATATTATTTTTTAGAACATAAGTTATTTTCCAAAAAAAAATTATTTTGAAGGATTTTTTATTTAATTTTTTGATATTTTTTGTAAATTTTAAATTATTTTGTATTTAAGAAGAAAAGTTTAAACTTATACCTAATCCCTACAAACCTTAAATTTTTTCATCAAATTGTAAATTAATTTAAAAAAAAAAAGTTTATTTAACAAAAATCAGTAATACAAAATACAAAATTAAAAATCTACAATGGTATGATATAATTCGAAACATTCTGGTAGGTGTAAGGGAACTTTACATTTCTTACACTCCCACGTTGTTTCTTTACGTTTCTTATTTTTTTGGCAAACTTTACATGGTTTCGATGGTCTCAACTTTGATGTTGTTGGGTCAATGTGTTTTGGAAAATGAGCCCAATGCTTCCCGTGTAGTCTCTCTGGCATATCTCCGGAAGATAATTGTCTTCGTTCTTTATAATATGGTTTTGGCATATTCTCCAATAGAGATTCGGCTATCTTGATTCTATAGTCAACGTAACATTGTTTCTTCCCGTTATTTATTTTGTTGCATAAAATATATGAGTTAAAAAGACCAATATCGAACAGATAAAAAAAAAATTTTTTATAGCCTTTCATGTATTTCCTCATTACTGGAAAGCATGCTAATATTTGGTCTTGGAGATCAATTCCATTCATTCCCTTATTGTACTCTCTAATACAATTTGGTTTTGGAGTACGGTTGAATCCTTGTGTAGTCATTTCGACTGTTTCATGTTTTGTCGCCATAATATAAAGATCTCGCTTATCTTTCCATTTTATAGCTAGTATTCCGTTGCAGCTTCTTATTGCATATTCCCCCCTTTTTAATTTTATATTACACAAATCTTTTGGCATATGCTTCCTATTTCCACGTACTGTGCCAATTACATTTGTTTTATAATTGAACGATAATGTCATAAACAATTTTGGGGAAGAATACCAGTTATCTATGTATAAAGTGTGACCCCTGTGCAACACTGACTCAGAAAGCTCTTTCACAACACTTTCCGAAGCGCTATCATCACGGTTTATTTTATCGTGGCCTGTATATATTTTAAATTCATAGCAATAGCCTGAATCGGACTCACACAATTTATAAAATTTAACGCCAAACCTTGCCCTTTTTGATGGGTTAAATTGCCTATAAGATAGGCGCCCCTTGAATTTCATAAGCGATTCATCAATAGCAATGTCTTCTTTCATTATATATACTTCTTTAAATTGTTGGTTTAAAAACTTGATCACAGGTCTAATCTTGCTCAATTTATCTGTATTGGCAACCAGATTATTATTTGCGAAATGCAAACACCTTGTAATTTGCAAATATCTTTTCAAAGGCATTGATTTTCTAAATATCGGCGTTTCGATAACAGCCCTCTTCGACCAATTCATTTGTATTCTTGGTTTTTTTACCTGTGCCATTATTATGGTTAACGCGAAATATCTTTTAATTTCGTTAGAATCTACAGGAAACCAACTGTCGTCGATTTGTCGTGTTCTGCGTGAATTCGTTCGTATTTGATCTGCATACCGGTTAGTTTCGGTTACAATATTTTCCCAGAATACGTCATCAAATATTAGATTGAATACATCTAACTGTCTTCTACTTCCTCCTAGTTGACGTAAGGCTGCCGCTCTTATACCAGGAGTCATCGTATAGTACCAGATTTTTTGACTATTTCTTCTTTCTTGCCAAAGCCATGGCTCTGGTAGTTGATCATCGTCAGAAGTATCATCAATAACTCGTATACATTTTTTTCGAACAGGACTTATATTATCGCTACTGTCACTTTCGGTAGAAGAATTTTTAGCACAAAACATCTTGTGAAAATAAATTTTGACGTGCGAATGTGACCAAGAATAACTTGACGCCACTGAGAACAAGTGGAGGGGGGAAATACGAAGAGATATTAGGTTGATGCATAATTATTGCGGCTTTTTTTTTAATTATTTTTTAAATTAATTTGCGAAAAAACGATGAGAATATTTAACAAAAACATGTTTAACATGTTTTTAAAACAAAGGGTATATTTGAACATGTTTTTCAAGAAAAAAAACCGAAGAAAAGCCGCAATAATTATGCGTCAACCATAATAAGAATATATCACGAGCCCTGTCGGTGCAATTTGTGGTGAGGGTGGTGGGGCAAATTACAAACCGGGACCGTCGTACCACGAGCGATGCCCGTAATATTTACGATTGGCCCGATCATCGTACTTACACAAGTTGTGCGAATGGCTCGAAGGCTGCGCAAGCTTGTTTACGTTTTCGGCCCAAAATTCTCGAACGTAACTCGTAGGTTAAGGGGTTCAGATTCACAAGAAGTAATTTTAAATAATAGAAGATATCAAATAATAATAGCACTTTTCCTCATGAAAACAAAAATAATTTTAAAAATCTCAAAACAATTTCTACTTAAAATCGTAATAACATCAAGTGGCAAGGAGAAACCGTGCGATAGCAAAGAACTGATGAATTCCGGTCGATATGATTCGTATTTATCGCAGTTGAAAATTATATGATTCAAATCCTCCGTTTCAAACCCGCACGAACAATTGGGGGACTGTAAAATATTAACTTTATATAGATGGGCACGGTAACATCCATGACCGGACTTTAGCCTGACAATAGTTGAAAAGAAATTTCTAGAAACATCACGCCCACTCGAATGTACTGCGTCTGCCTGTGCTGATATGTTTGATTCCAGTGTCTGCACCAGTTCTCCTTTACAAGTTTCTCCCTGCAGATAGATAAGACCTCAGAAGAAGAAAGTTTGTTTTCAACCCGCTTGCCGTCCCGAAAGGCCGCCTTAGCTACCTTATATACGCGCTCATTATGGACAAAACCAGCGTGAGCCTTCACCCACATGGCCTTGATCATTAGGGCCCGGAACTTTTGTAACGGTACGATACGATTTACCCCCTCCACTTGATCTCCTAGAAAATGATCGGTTGTTATTGACGACCGACGATCGGTTTTTTATTGCGCATCAATGTCAACATTGTCAACTGTCAGTACGATTTCACTGTTGTCCAAATGTGCAGTATTCGACGCTTTTCATCCGCATAATTTCGTCAAATTTGCTATTTATCTTTCTTTAGTTACCTTTAATTGGAAGTTGGAGTTCTGTTTGAGTTCGTATTATTTTTTTTTAAGAATTGTTTTTAGTTTCCCTTTGTGGTAAAATTGTTGTTCGGATTTGAGAATTGTTCAACAAATTGCCGAAAACAATATACCTTTAACTCTTAAGGAAAAATATGGTTCAATAGCTCAGTATTTTATTTATGCTCTATTTACAACTTGTGATGTTGAAAGATTATTTTCTAGGTACAAACTCATTTTAACGTCAACTAGAACGTCATTTACAGAAGAAAATTTAGGGATGGTTGTTTCAATATGCGTTAACAGCAATTTTTTTATATCCGTATCCGATTTGTGATTGATATTACAAATCGGATCATGTTTTTTTGAATTAAAGTTATAAAATAATCGTACTGACAGTTGACACTGACGTGTAATAAACCGATTGTCGGTCGTCAACAACAACCGATGAGGTGAGTTGACTTGACGCCACCGCCTTGTTTTCTATTAGAACAAGTGGTGGGGGTAAATCGTATCGTTCCGTTACAAAAGTTCCGTGCCCTATTGATCATTCAACTTAGTGAGATTATTCAAAACTTCCACTATAACAGGGTGGTATTTCAAGAAGTGTTTCCTGTGTTTTATAGATAGCAGGACACTTTTTGAATCGGTGAACATACTAACGCTACTATTTGGGCGTATATTTCTATCTACATACTTTAAGGCCTCCAAAATTGCTGTTGCTTCCGCCGCAAAAATACTAGTCGATGGATTAAGTTTAAAACTGGCATGGTAATCAATAGTAGGTATCAAAAAAGCACAATAAACACCACCACTTGCAGATTTGGAAGCATCAGTATAAACAAGCAAACTACCCTCTGTCAACTGCAGGGTCTCAACAAACAATACTTTATTTTCCCAAACATCATTCCCATATGGAGGAATAATCACTTGATGCGAGCCAAAGTACTCAAAAAAGGTCGCACTTGGAAAAACGAAACATCTCAAAACAGAAAGTAAGCGAGGGAAGAGAAACCTGAACGCAGCGACAAGGGCGGGAGTAGGCCTGTTTTTTCAGAACCTACACGTGACCTCCACTGCTAACTTAGCGACATTAGCCTTAAACGTTTTATGGTTCGAAGCTGATAGTTTAACCATCTGCTTCGTCGACAAGAAATTACGTCTGAAGTTAAGTGGGGGTTCTATAGCTTCAACGTTAAGCGTTTCAATAGGAGTAGACTTCATTTGCTCTGAATGACCCGAATGCGCTCAAGCTGATTTACCCTCGCGCTAGCGTATACAGTACATCCAAAGTCCAAATGCGACCTAATGCAACTTTTATAGAAATTATGTGCCGCCTGAAAATCTGCGCCCCACTTTATTTTCACAAAAACACGGAATATGTTTACAGTTTTCTCACATTTCCCGATAATGTAATCAATATGTCTCCGCCATGTTAATTTGTTATCTATCATAATCCCTAAATATCTTATACAATTCTCAATGGGAAAGATGATATCATCTAGCCTTATGTTACCTAAAGGGATATTTCTGTGTCGAGAAAAGTACAAGATTGCGGACTTATTGGCTGCAAGAGTCATCCCGTTATCCTCTATGCACCTGTTTAGAACACTGACTGTGTTTGTAAGATTGTGATTGAGATCTTCTAAAGTGTTTTTAGATGATACAAGGCAAAAATCGTCAGCATATTCAATATATGATTTTGGTTGTACTCCCCAGGTGCTCATGAAAATCGATGGAATAAATATTGAAAAGAACCGGACTGAGAATGGAGCCTTGTGGCACACCAAGAGAGAGCTTCCTAGGACCGATAAAATTACCTCTGTGACCTTGGACATAAATATCTCGATCGCGAAAGATGTTTACAATACTACGTGCCACTTTAGCTGGAAGTCCCACAGAGTTCATCTTTTGCTCCAATAAGTCCAGGTTTACCGAATTGTATGCGCTTTTCAAACCAAGAAATAAACTGGCGTAATATTGATCTTTTGAATAAGCAAGTTGAACTTCGGTAACCAAATCTGCTACCGCGTCCAGCGAACTAACCGATTTTCTGAAGCCATATTGTTGACAAGGCAGGATCTTATTTTGATCTAGCCACCATTCAAGGCGCGCTTTTATTAATCGCTCGTATGTTTTCAAAAAACACGACAGTAGTGAAATAGGCCGGAAAGAATCTGCCCCACAAGACAAGCCGTTCTTTGGGATGGGCACAACTACAATACTTTTGAATTCCTTTACATAATTACCTGTAGCCCACATCTCATTATAAACGCCCAATAAAATATGTTTCACGTCCAGAGGAAGACGTTCAATAAGATCGTAGGTGATATAATCAATACCTGGCGCTGTAGATTTGCGAAATGAAAAAGTATTTTGCAGCTCGTGGGACGTTAAAGGAGTCATCATGAAATGTAGGGGGAGGTATGGATCAGTACTAAGCAGTTTGGGTAATCAGTTTGGGGGATTTAATTGGTCCTAAGAACATTAGTTTTGCATCAAGAGTTTCTAATAACCGTATCTCTATCTATTTGTCCTCTAAAGAGGCAGTAGAAAATTTTATTATATCTCATGGCGGCATTACAGTTAACGGTAAATTTCTTTCCGCTAGACGACTGGTTTCACCGGCGAAAAGAGTGGTTATATCAAATGTTTCTCCCTCACTATCACACGAAGTAATAGCAAAAGAATTAAAAGCTTTAGGGTTGCAGATGGTATCGTCAATTACTTTTATTAGCGCTGGAATTAATAAGCCAGAATATATTACACCACATATTAAGTTTTCGTAGACAAGCGTATTTGATACTAGAGGATAATACTGCCCTCCCTAGTTCTATATTAATCGAATATGAGAAAAACACTTTTAGAATATTTTTGGCAACGGACGAAATACGCTGCTTTATTTGTAAAAAGGCGGGCCACATTGCCAATCGATGCACTTCCAAAAGTAATGCTGAGATTGGTGAAGGGGTTACCGTTGCAGATGTTCACTCTCCTCCCAATGTGGCGTCAGTAAGCGCTATATCAGACAGTGATGTGATTTCAAATTCAGGTAAAAAAATCACTAGCAGTTCTAATATTGACAACAATAATGATTTAACTTCCCAACGTGATATTGTCAATATTGTCAACAAGGACACCATTGTCATTGACGATGATTTAGAAATTGTTAAAAAGCGTGGCAGAACTCCTTCATCAGTTGGATCTGAATCGAAAGATGTTGGGAAAACTCCAAATAACCCTACTCCTGTTACGGATTTTGTTAAACTCCGTCCTAAAAAGCGCAAAGAGGAGAATATAGCTGACAACCACACTGATTCCGAATGTTTTTCCGAATTTAAGGAACTGTTCGCTAATAAAATGTTTATTTCATATGACAACTTCTGTAAATTTATCACTGATTCCAAAGGCAAACAGGACGCAAACGCAGTAGCTCAACTTTATTCTGAAGATATCGATTCTCTGTGTGAGTTGCTAGTTATGGTTATACGTGTTGTTAAAACTAATGCACTTAAAGCTCGTTTAAAACGGCTACTTAAAAAACTACGGTCTAAAGGTAGTTCATCTAATGCTGGTTCAAGGTGTGGTTCTCAAGGTGACTATTCTTCTGATTATTCTACGTATTAATTTTTTATGCCTCCAATTAAGATTATGCAATGAAATGCGCAGTCGGTGCGCTCAAAAAGAGAAAACTTGGAGCCATTACTTTTTGATTTTGACATTGATGTGGCACTCATTTCTGAAACCTGGTTTAAGCCTGATACGATAGTTAAATTTAAAGGTTACAATATTATTTGAGACGACAGAGCGGATGGTTATGGTGGTGCGGCGATTTTTGTTCGGAAATCTATAAGGTTTAATAACATGAATTGTCAACTAAATGTTCAGAACTTAAATGTTTGTGGGAT